TGTCTCCTTTTTTATTAACTTGAGTGAGACTTGGGAGGGGAACAACGGGTGAAAGTGTCAAAAGATATTTCATATCTTGACAGTTGAAACAACTTCTGGTCGTATCTTCTTCTTCAAACTCTGTAGAATGAGCTACAGGGGGAAAGAAATCTCAATTCTGGAATGAAGTGTGTCAGGATAAGCGGAGAACATTTCTGGAGTCAGACTATCAATAATACCAGCCACTAAAATAACTAGCCAGGGGACGCCTGGGTGGCTCAGTCGGTTAAGTGTCTGCCTTCAGTTCAGGTCATGATCTCAGGGGTCCTGGGATCGAGCCCCACCTCCTCGGATTCTCTGTTCAGCGGGGAGCCTGCCTCTCCCTCTCCCTCTGCCTCCCCCCCACCCTCCAGGCTCATGTTCTCTCTCATACAATCTTTAAAATATATAAAAATAATAAAATAAAATAAATAAAATAAAATAAAATGACTAGCCGGGTGGCTGAGGCCAAGGGGAGCCTGGCATGGACCCTCTGCCTCTTCCCTCCTTCCCCTCCGTCCCCGTCCCTCCCATCCTCTCTCCCTCTTCCCTCCTTCCCCCCTCCCAGTCCCTCCCATCCTCTCTCACTCCTCCCAGGGGTACCTCAGGAGAAATGACACAGAGGCCTGGACCCCTCAGAGGAGCGTGAGAGCCCCCAGGGCTCCAGGAGAAGACACACATTTATCCACTGCTGAGGTCACTGCCAGTGAGCCATGTTAAACTGCAGCCAATGGAATGCAGAGCCACTACACCTGGGTGATACTCAGTGTCTGTAACCTGGCAGGTGCCAGTCAAGTACGATGGGCAGAAGCCCCAGCTCTCAGGGCTAGTTACCAACTCCACACATCGTTCCAACATTCAAACCACCAACTCAGCCACACTGATGCTCCTTGGCTGCAGGTCAGCCTGGCTACAGAAACTGTGATGGAGGACGAGCCATGGAGCCCTCCTGATCCAGTTGTAACCAGGCTCATTGTCAGTGAGGAGCAGCCTGGGTGCTGGGCTTCCCCCCGGGCCCCTCTCTTGGGAGATTCGCAGTGCTCACGAAAGCCTGGCAGATAAGACAACTGACTTTGGAGTCCAGCAGAACTGGATCTGAATTCAGGCTTGGACAAGTAACTTCCCCTCCCTGAGCCTCAGTCTTTTGATCTGTAACATGGGTGATCAGTGGTCATAATGTTGGCTAATATTTGTTGAGCCTTCTTATATGCCAGAGTATCTGTCTGTCTCTCTCTCATCTAGTCCTCACAAAAACTTCAACTTGTACTGACTTGGGTATAGTTATTCTCCCCCTGAGACACAGAGTGATTAAATATGCTGCCTGAAATCACACAGCAGCTGAGCGGTGGAGCCTTGATTCTAACATGGCTGTTTGGCATCGCGGTCCATCCACTGACCCACCACTTGATTGTCTCCTGCTCATGGGGGTGGCTGTGCACATCCAGGGAGAAGTATAGACACAGCGCTTCATGCAGCATGTGCTCACAGCACACAGACAAGGCTACTGCTGTCCTACTTATCTATTGTTATTCCTTGGGAAACAGGAGCGTCTTGATGGAGCTTATGTTGATACTTGTTGGGTTTTTCCCTCAAAAGGAATGATGAGAATGACACTTCTCTGTGAGTTCCGTGGTTCTTGCACACAAAACCGGCAGTCCTATTCTTTAGAGTCCTTCTTTTCATTCATCACCATAGCTCCAAAGAGTTCTTAAAATTTAACTGTGCTTTTGGCAGCATATGAATATCACTCAGCCATTTGCTAGACTCAGTTCACAAAAGAGAGGATGGGGCAAGAAGGGCAAGAAGGGCAAGACCATTTGGGCTCGGGGGAAAAGGATGATTTGGCCACCTTTTTACTGAAAATCTTTGGAAGGAGAGTAAACTGGCAATTAAAAAAAGAATAAAGCCTTCTAAGTTGATCCATTTGAGCCATACAGATATCTTGTGAAGGCAGATATTCCATGGCTCCTGAGTAAAGGATGGGGAAGGATCCTGAAGAAGGTGCTGCCAAGGGACCAGGGCAGGGAGGTGGCTAAAGAGATGAGAACAGAGAGTGTGACAACCTGTTCTTAAAATCCAAGAGATTATTCCAGGAACACTGTCAAACCTTATTGAGCAAACAGTTTCTAGACATTCTTTAAAGTCTGGTTTGTGAAAAAGCAAACCAGCAGCCCATTCTGTGTGCACCTTAGAAGGACACAACCAGGTCCTCCCTGTTCTCAGGGCTCCTGCTCCGCCAAGGAAACCCATCCACCATCTCCCTAATGCTGGCCCTTCATGGGCATCTGACTGGTCCTGAACCTTCCCCCCAACAGCGAGCCCCTCATCCCTGCTTCATCTGGTTTCCCGAAGCACTTTGCCCTGCTATTTCCCATCCCCCATTCTGCCTTTGATGGCAGTGAATGGAGGACAGGAAACCCCACCCAAGAAAAGTCTCTGAAGGATGAGAATGGTCCAACTTCCTTGAACCCAGCACTGTGCCTTGAATAAAATAGACCCGAGTGAAGACGTGTCCACACAGTTTCAACAACAGAGGCTCTGCTTCAAGCTCTAGTGAAAAAAGCCCAGATTGTGAGCTGGAAGAATTGTTTTTTAAGTAATCTCCATGCTGGGAGCCTAACTCGGGGCTTGAACTCATGACCCTGAGATCAAGACCCTGAGATCAAAGCCTGAGCTGAAATGAAGAGTTGGACGCTTAACCAACTGAGCACCCAGGCACCCCGTGAGCTGGAAGACTTTTTAACTCCAGTCCGGGTTCCACCATGTAGAGTTGCATGGCTTCAATCTCTCTGAGATGTGGATTAAACTATCTGCCAAAAGGTATAGTCACAGTGTGCTGTGCCTATCTGCATATGGAGATACGCAAATATCTACAGGTGCACATGAAACAGGGTAGCGGCAGTTGAGGAGGGAGAGAACACTCAGGAATTGTACGACCATGAAGTAAGAGGGGGAAAAAGAGAGAATAAGGGCAGAAAAGTAGCCCTCCCACTTCAAACTGCAAGGATACAAGACGGTGGCCCTTGGAGATTATAAAATGGAACTGCCCCCCTTGCACAGAGAATGATATGTTGAAAAATAAGTAAGGTAACCAAGGCCATTTTTACTAGAAATCCACCCAAAATATCTAAGGCCCAAATCTGTGGACATTACAGCTTTCACTAGCAAGCGTTTTGAGAACCTGAGCAGAGTATACACCTGGGAGTGGGGTTCCTGTCCCCAAGGCCTCCCTCTGCTGTCAGGCATACTTCAGGTAGTGAAGATGCCACCTCTGGCCCCAGTCCCCCATGACACATGTCATCGATGCAGATCAGGCTTGTCGAGGGGGCCTGACACAGAGGGTAAAGCAACAGGGACTGGCTGGGACATGCTTTTACCCACCTTAGCCCTGGGCCTCTACCAGGTACTTCCTCACCTCTGAAAGGTCCACTGAAGCCCAGAGACAGCTGATCTCCATGGCCCTTCTGCAAATTATCTGAGATAATGCCAATGAGAGAACACAAAACGAGACTGCACGCCGCCTGCCTTTGGCTGGAAACCAGAAACCTTCACTTCTAATCCCGGTTTTCCATCTGACCCTTGGAAGCACTGACACATTTCTTTTCCAAGTGCAGAATGTTCTTCATATTTGAGGCAGGGCATCCCCATGTCTGTAACACCCGTCAGCGGGTGACTGGAGTATTATGGAATCACATTAGAGGGAGCCCATTTCTCTTTTCCTAGGCCAACATCATCTGTATGAAAATAACCACTGCCACCATCAGGACACAATATGACACTAACTACAACCTCCAGCGAAGGCAGCGTCCATGCACGGCGTACTCAACAGTCTTCCCGCCTCAAACAAAACCATCATCAACCATGGCCACCTCAAAGCCAGAAGGACCATCAGCGGGAAAGCCAGTAACATTTGACACGCAGGTGTTTTCCCACGCATCTGAAAATTGCTTGTAGATGAGTAGCTTTTGTAAATCAAGTTCTTTTGTTCTTTTGCTTTTCATTCCCTCCAAAAATACACATGTTCATGATAAAACATTCAAACTGAACAGAAAGGTGGAAAGTGGAAAGTAAGCACTTTAATTTCTTGTACATGCCTCCAGAAATGTTCTGTGTATACAGCCCTTTATGTATATCCTTCACACACACACACACACACACACATTGGACTATGCATTTTCTTCCACATCTTTTCCTCCTCATCTTGATCACTTGTGGGTGTACTTCTGGGCCCCTCTACCTGAGCACACAGAGCTCCAGTTCTCCAGAGTCTCCTAATCCCAGGGAATCCCATGCCTTCTGAGATAATGTCTGTTCCATGGTAGGGGGATAACAGAATCAAGTAAGTCTGGAGAGAGCAGACTCATACAACTAAATGGCCTTCTCTATGGTAGAAACACATGTTCCTTGAGTATCTCATGCACATAGCTGACCACCAAGCATTACACAGCATCTCCTTCCCTTGTTTCATCCCAAAACATTTTTTTCAAGGGTCCCTTAACAATGTATTTTGCAACCCCTCCCATCCCAGCCCTTGGCCAAATCATTTCCTACCCATCCTTCCTCAGGAAAATGCCCTCTGATCATGGCCATCCCCCATCCCTAGACCACCCTGGGCCCAGCGTGTCCCTCCACCCTGGGCCACGTTGTTGTCGAGCCACAACCCCCTCCACAGCAGCCCGCTGGTTTCCTCAAACGTTCAGTGGTGTGTTTACTTCCCATCTGCCTCCCTGCTGGCCTCTAAGCTCCACGAGAGAATGGAAAGCATCTGCCCATTCATCACCACACCTCCTCATGCTAACACATTAGGTCTGCACCCAAGACGTGCTCTGTGGATGTCTATTAAATCAATATATGGTGGTGGGGTCCCCAGAGCCCAGCTCTGCAAATGTCGCTCCCGCCACTACAGCGGAGGAAGGTGCTTCTCCTGAACACAGGGATCTTTCTGGTGAGGCGAAGAGCCTTTCTGCATTGTGAATCATTACCTCCTTCCTCCCTGGTGCGCATTCTGGTGAAGCAGGTTTGCAGGATTAAATGTGGAATTGTCTCATCTCCTGACAGAAAATATTCCCAACGTGTGAGTAGTTGGTACCCACTGACATTCTGATGTAGAATTTGCTTTACATTTTAAAAAAGACTTTCTGCCGCAACATTTATTTTGATCAGGGGAAGAGATTGGGAGTGTTTATGTAAAATAAGACTAGTTTTCATTTATGATGGATTTTTGCACGCTGAGAAGAAAATAGCATGCTTTGACAAAACAGGGCCTTCCACTTGCTGCACATGGGAAGTGCACCCATAAACAGGCGTGACGCAGCCAATGGAACACTCGGGCACGGCGGATGGGGAGCATCGGCCGTGCACAGGACACAGAATAAAGAGGCAGGGATCCCAGTGGTTATGAAGTCAGTGTCAGGGTTGCCTGCTGACTCATCCATCTTACCAGTTGAGTCATCCTCAGCAGGTCCCAAAGCTTCAGTATTCTCATCTGTGAAATGGGAACGAGGAGGGCTCCTGCTTCACTGAGTTGTGGGTAGGACTGGATTGTATTAGATCATGCTTGTGCCTGCACATAGCACGGTATCTAGAGGGTGAAAACCGATAGAGGGAGACATCGTGGACTAATGAGCAGGTGAGTGTCTCCAAGGACAATGGGTAGTGCATCCTGGACAGAAGTTGCCATTAGTTTGGAGCTACAAAGAGGGTGCGAGAAGTGAAAAGGAAGAAGGCTTCCTTCATGCCCCTGCCAAGGGCAGTGCCCTCCTGAGAGTCCTGGGTCTCAGACAAAAGGAAAAGCAAAGAGCATTATTTGAAGCCCTATAATTGACATTGACAACAAACATGGACACCAAGGTTCCCAGCAGCCTGAGCAGTAGGACCTGAACTGACAGAGGCTGCCCGTGTGTCTGAACACGAAGAGCGAGAAGAGGGCAGGTGTGAGATTTGGGATCCCACTGCTTACAGAAGGTGCTCATTGGCTTCCGACACCCATAAGCAACTCTGGTTCCACACTGTTGCTATTCATTGAATTTCTTGATATAAACTCCAGTAATAAAAGGGTTTGCAAGGTGCAGGAGAAAAGAGAATGTTACCTTATTCAGTGTGAGAGATATTTCCAGGAAGAAACCACATCACTGTGGACTTTTCAATATCATTCTTTTTTTTTTTTTTTGGTATGTTATTTTTAAACTTTTTTTTTAATTTAAATTCAATTAGCCAAGGTATAGTACATCATTGGTTTAAAACATCCAGTGCTTATCACATCACGTGCCCTCCTTAATGCCCATCACCCATTTATCCCATCAACCCACCCACCTCCCCTCCAGCAACCCTCAGTTTGTTTCCCGGGGTCAAGAGTCTCATATGGTTTGTCTCCCTCTCTGATTTCTTCCCATTCAATTTTCCCTCCCTGTCCCTATGATCCTCTGCCCTATTCTTTTTTTTTTTTTTTTAAGATTTTATTTATTTATATGACAGAGAGAGACAGCAAGAACAGGAACACAAGCAGGGGGAGTGGGAGAGGGAGAAGCAGGCTTCCCGCTGAGCAGGGAGCCTGATGTGGGACTCGATCCCAGGACCCTAGGATCATGACCTGAGCCGAAGGCAGACGCTTAACGACTGAGCCACCCAGGCGCCCCTTCTGCCCTATTCTTTATGTTCCATGTATATTGTTCTTACAATGATACTAACAAAGGTGACACTTAGTAAGCTTTTACAACATAACTAGCTGCAGTGATGATGGTTGAACAGTGCTTCATTAAATCCTTGCAAACCCGTGGGGGATAGGTGCTGCCGTAATGCCCACTTTACGGATGGTGGCCCGGGTCAGTACTGAGGCAACAAGCATCTGTCACATTCACACTCAGACCACATGCCCCTGAACAAGACCCACCCTGACCCAGTGCCTCCCAGGGAGGGCTGCTGAGGATACCAGCAGCAACTGTAGGACTATCCACATATCCACATGTCTCCCCTGTTCTTCCCAAATCCTGGAGACCTGGCATGCATTTCCAGCAAGGTGGTCCCTTTCTCGCTCTTGGGGACCTGTGGCATATTGAGGTTGGCTGCATCAGTCCAGGGACAGCGGTTCCTACCCCGTTTTCCTTCCTAGAACACATCTGACTGTCAGCCCAGGCTGCAACACCCCTGCTATCATTTCCAGAGTGATGCAGGTGGTCCCCGCTCTCCCTCCCAATAGAAGACAGATCAGAAAGCAAGCTCCTATGAGTGATGTTATCATAGGAATGACTGAATTCCCTCTAAGCCATTAAATTTTTTTAAAGCAAATCACCTACCAACTCTGGCTCTCTACGATTACTGTGACATTTCACAAATGTGGAGACACTAGGTGAAAAAAAAAAAAAAAACCACTATTAGCAATCATTCCTGTTCTTACATTGTCCTTTACTGCCTGGGCACAGCTTTTAGAATTCCTCTTAGCCCAGATTCAGCTCCTATCCCATTGCAAGCCTCCATCTCAATTTCTATTATTCAGGGAAAAAAAGAGAGATTACAAATAGAAATAAATTAAAAGACCATGGAATTATTATTTTATTAAGCATACATCTAAAACTATTGTCTTCAAAAGCAACACTCCCTCCCAAAAATCAAAGTCAAATAGAAGTAGAATGGACAGGGGCGCCGGGTGGCTCAGTTGGTTAAGCGACTGCCTTCGGCTCAGGTCATGATCCTGGAGTCCCGGGATCAAGTCCCGCATCGGGCTCCCTGCTCGGCAGGGAGTCTGCTTCTCTCTCTGACCCTCCTCCCTCTCATGCTCTCTGTCTCTCATTCTCTCTCTCGCAAATAAAAAATAAAAAATAAATTAATTAATTAAAAAAAAGTAGAATGGACAGACCAATAAGAAGAAGAAAAAAAAAAACCCACACACCAATCCATTTGTGATGACCTGTAGTAATGTAGGATGCAAGTGGCAATGTAGAAAATTAGGATTCAGGAAGTAATATAGTAACATAGGATCCAGGAAGTAGTATAGTAATGCACGATTCAGGGAGTAATGTAGTGATGTAGGATTCAGGGAGTAATGTAGTAATGCATGATTCATATAGTAATGTCATGATGGATTTAGGTAGTAATGTAGTAATGCAATATTCATATAGTAATGTAGTAATGTAGGATTCAGGTAGTAATGAAGTAAAGCAATATTCATATAGTAAGGTAGTAAAGTAGGATTCATATAGTAATGTAGTAAAGTAGGATTCAGATAGTAATGTAGCAATGTAGGATTCAGCCAGTAATGTAGTAAAGTAGGAGTCAGGTAGTAATGTAGTAAAGTAGGAGTCAGGTAGTAATGTAGTAAAGTAGGATTCAGGTAGTAATGTAGTAAAGTAGGATTCAGGTAGTAATGCGGTAAAGTAGGATTCAGGTAGTAATGTGGTAAAGTAGGATTCAGGTAGTAATGCAGCAATGTAGGATTCAGGTGGTAATGTAGTAAAGTAGGAGTCAGGTAGTAATGTAGCCATGCAGGATTTGGGTAGTAATGCAGTAAAGTAGGATTCGGGTAGTAATGTAGCAATGTAGGATTCGGGTAGTAATGTAGCAATGTAGGATTCGGGTAGTAAC